AAGACATTTTTTTATAATATAAATTACACTACAAAAGGGGTTTTATATTTAATACTGGAGTAGTATAATGTTTTTTTTTTACCAGCAAACATATATATATAATGTTGAAAGTTCCAGGAGCATCTGTTCTCATTGTTGGCATAACATCCCGAATTTTCTCACTTAGAAAGAGTAGAAAAGACAATTTATTAAAATTATTTAATGTCTAAATAAAATTAAAAAAATTATGAAATATTAATTTTGAGCATTTAGAAGTTTTATAAAAAAATTTTATTCTCCAGAAATGGCTTGAATAATTTTAAAGTTAATTTTCAGAGAAAAATGGTCTATTTTCTTAGAAAATTCAACGAAAAATAGTTAGAGGTTTATATCTGAGTAAAAATTTTAGGATAATTAATTTATGAGACAAAAAAAAATCTAATTCAGATATAAAATCTTTAAAATGATTTAAGGATTAATTTGTGGAATTTAGCGCTATTTTCTTAGAAAATTTAAAAAAAAGTTAGGAGTTTATTTTTGATCCGAAATTTTTAGAGAAGTTATTTCATGGGCCAAAGAAGCTAATGGAAGAATAAAATTCATATAAAATATTATGCATTAATATTTGGATTTATTTTATAATTTCAGAATAATAGGAAAAGGGATAAAATTGGGAGAAAGGAAAGAAGCACGGGCAAGATGGACTTTTCACTCCATCACACCCCCGCACCACGCCCTTAGTAACATCAGATGCCTCCCCCTTCTGCCTCATTCTCGACCAGTAGCAGCTGAAACACGAGAGAGAAAGAGCGAGAGAAAACGGAGAAGGAGCTTGGCCGGAGAGGTGATCGGAGGTGGTGAAGTTACACGCAAGGGTGTTTTTGGGTTAAGATGAGTCCCCTGATTACTCTCCTTCTCTTCTTTCCTGCATTATCTGCGTGGTTTGAGAGTTAAGGAACGATGAGGTTTCTGGTAGTGAAAGAAAGTAAAGAATCAGAAGAAATGTGCGCTACGTGTTATTGATTTCTGCTGGGTAGTGATTATTGAAGCTGGGGCTTGTCATTTTCAAGTTAAATTCTGATTTGTGGTGGCTGAAACAGGGGAGGATGGTGTTGAGTTGGTTGTCAGGCGGTACTATGAAAGATGTATCTATGTATGTGTTTGCTTGTTGATGACGATGCTTGGGTTAGTTTATGCTTGCTAGGTTATTTTATTGTCTAAAATGCTGGAGAGTTAGGAAGGTTAAAAGTTAGTCTATTAAGAAACATTAAAGAGGGATAATAAGCTAATAGAAAAGATGAAAGAATTAATAGAATCTGTGAATTCCTGCAGGTTATGTTTATAGGAGCCGTTATGATAAATAAAAGGATGTTTAGGAGAACAATAAGTGAGAATGCCGAAGGGTCACAAAGGTATAGTTTTTGGTGAAGTAGGGAATTTGCTAAGGTAATGTCATAAATTGCTTTTGAATGATCAATTAAGGTATAAAATAGGTGTGTGTGCTCGAATAGTTTTGGGATCACGTGATTAAGAAGAGTAAAGCGTGATTTTCTCAAGATATATGTGGAAGATTGAGAGGAAATGAGAATAAAGCGGAGTTTTAGAATTTATTAAGAAAGGTTCTTCGAAGAATGTTAAATTAATAGTTTAAAGGGAGTAGATGTTTAGATGTTTAATGTTTTAAAATTTTAGTTATGGATTGAATATAATGGGAACTTTTAGAGATTAAATGATTGAACTAAAGGATGTAATGATATACGAATGGATATTTGGGAGGTCCTACTTTATGGGATCAAAATATTTAGTTACTAATGATTGTGTGATCGTGCATGTCTATGCTAAGTGTGTATATGGTTTCATAGAAGTAAATAAATCTGTGATAACTCTCCGTTTTTAATATATTTAAAAAATATTTCAAGTGATTTTTTGGAGAGTTATTAATGCATTTTAGAAGATTTCTAAGAGTTAATTGGAGGATTTGATTTTAAGCATTATTTTGGGGATTTTATTATAAATATCTTAATTTGAAATAAATAAAAATAATTAATATTAAGTTTAACATTTAGTTGATTTTATTTTATCTTATTCCTATTTCTTAGAGTTTATTTCCTTCTCTTTTATTTTATTTTTCAGTTTTTCCTTTTTATTGGTTTTATTTTATTTTATTTTCTTTCTCCTCTCTTGCATCAGTTAGCACGTGCTGATTGGGCGAGAAGCAAGCAACGCACCGTTTGGACTGAGAGGGGGGAAGGGTTCTGATTTGGAGACGGAGGCGCCGAAACTGAGGAGGCTGGTTCATCTTGAAGGCTGCCGAACTGTTGTGGAAGAAGGGGAGTATACCGTTCTTTTCCTGGAGCTCGACGGAGACAAGCAAGGAAGAGCTGGGTGGATCATCTTCTTCATCTGAAAGGCGCCGTGCTTGTTCGAACAGAGGTAGCTGGTTCTGGTTCAAGGGAGAGTAAAGCTGGTTCTGGGTTGAAAGAAAGGAGCCGAACTGGTGTAGTGAGGCTGTGTTTTCGACACTGTTCGGATCATCTTCTCTGCTGGTGGTCGACTGGTTCTGCAGGAAAATGACGACAGCAATGAGCTTGAGAGGACGAGTTCAGGCGAAGGCTTGAGGAGAGGAGATCACCAGCAGTGTTCTGTTTTCTTTCTCTTTTAATTTCGATTATGAATTTTGAATCTGAATTTCATTGTTGCTGAGATGGTTTTGTTCGAAGTCATGTGTGGCTAGTGTGTCCTACAGCCTAGAGGAACTATGAACTTGTTAGTGGATTGAACTTTGTTTTTACTGAATTGAGGATGCTTAATGATAAATTTTGGTTACCTAATCTTGTTCTTTATCTATCCATTTGATGACTGGCCACCATTAATTATGAATTTAAGAATTAAAAGTTTTTTTTTTGACAAAGGGGATTTTAGTTAAGCTCTTAGATTAAGTAATATGGAATTGGATGATAATCTGATTTGTGATTAGGATAGAAATATACCTAATTGCCCGGTATAATTGTTGATGAGTGAGACCGAATTGTTTAACCTCCTCGGTAATTGTGTGAGAGATTACGTGATTAATTTAAGAGAGGGTTATAAGTGGACCGATAGGCACTTGTAACTAGTTGAACCTAGATTAACAAAATTGACATTAAAGCTAATCAATTCAGTAAAATAATGTCTAAGAAGCTAGTAAGGGATTAGTGATTTTAGGTTGGCCTTTTAATATTTGATTAAATTAATTTGATAAAGTTTTGTTTTGTTTATTTTAATTTTTTTTTCGCCCAATTTCACTCAATTTTGATTTCCTCAACTTAAACAAAAAGAGGATTTTTCTTGCCTGATCATTGTTAACTGAGTTCTCTGTGGGATCGATCTTGATTTGCCACTATCTATTTTTATGGCCCGTACACTTGCGGGTGCATCTTAATATTTGGTAGCATCAAGTTTTTTTTTGGCGCTGTTGCCAAGGAACTCAAGGCAATTGGTGGTTAGAATTATAAATCTTTTAGTAGTTTTCGATTGAGTGTTTTCTTTAATCATTTCTTTCTTAGTTTCTTTTTGTTTGTGGTTATTTGGATAGATACTTTTGAGATTTGTTTTGTTTTTTAGGTACTAATTATATGCCCTGCAAATCCAAAGCTTCAAAGACACCATTGAAGACAAGAAGTCTTAAGGAAATCTTAGCCAAAACATCTCCTAAAAATCAAGAGAAGGAGGGTGCTAATATTGTGAAAGAAGATATGGCTAAGGATGACAACAATCGTTTGGATGTCAATGACTTTCTGGGAAGGCAATCTAGAGGTTATTAATCTGAAATCAAAGTTCCTAAATTTCAAGCAAACAACTTTGAGATTAAGCAAGCAATGCTCAAGATGATTGAATTGAACGGTCAATTTAAGGGAAACAGTAATCAGGATCCTAATTGGTACCTGATTCAGTTTTTGGATGTTTGTGACTCGTTCAAGCAGAATGGAGTTTGTAAAGACGTCATTTGTCTAAGGCTTTTTCCTTACTCTCCACAAGGGAAAGCTAAAGCTTGGCTTAACAATTTGGAGGAAGAAGTGTGAAGTCATGGGATGATCTAGAAGAGAAGTTTAGAGCAAGGTTCTTTCCACACAACAAGATGGTGGATGCAAGGGCCAATCTCACAAACTTTTGCCAACAATTTGGTGAGCACTTGTACGAAGCTTGGGAAAGGTTCAAACTATTGGTTAAGCAATGCCCGGGGCATAATCAAGAGAAATGGGTTTTGCTTCAGATCTTTAGTAGCCGATTAATTCCTGAGTCTAAATCTGAGAGTGGTCACTAACAGTGGAATTACAAAACAACCCGTGAATTATGTTTGGGGTTGTTTAGATGATTTGGCAGCCGATCAGAGCAATAGTGACAGAAGATCAGTGAAGTTCACTAAGAAAGTTACTGAAGATACTTCTTCATAGTTGGTGGCAATGTTAGGTGCAATCAACAAGAGGTTTGATCATCTAGAAGCTCAAGTTAAGCACCTTAATGATGGACCTATGGGAGTTAACGCTTTATATACTTCTTGTGATTATTGTGGGGGTAGTCATACCACTAGTCAATGCCTCATTTCTCCACAAGTAGAGACGGTGAATTATGCTGGAAACTACTATGGGAACAACTAGAATAATGCATATTCAAACACAAAATCCAGGATGGCGCAACAATTCAAATCTCTCTTGGAAACATGGGGCAACACTTAATCAAGCATCTATTTCTAGTGCAAAGCAATTGATCCCTCCTGGTTTTCATCACTTAGAAAAAGGAATCTATTCCTATTTAAGAGTCTAAGCCTGATCTAGAGGTGATGATGAGTAAGCTCATGAGTTTGCAACTGAAGAACACTCAAGATCAAGCTAACATTAATGCCAAGTTAGATTCCTCTATTAAGAATCTTGAAGTTCAAGTAGGGCAAATTGCAAATGCAGTGAATGCATTGTAATAGAGAGGGTTGCTAAGTGATATTGTTCCTAACCCTCATGGAGAAAAAAATAAGGGAATGTAAAGCTATGACTCTTCGAATCAGTAAGGTATTACTTGAGATTCCACAAGCATCAAAGAAGTCTGCAGATTCTAGTGTTCAAGTAACTCCTGAAGTTATGGTAGAGGATGATGAAGAGTTTATGAAAGAGGACACTATCAAAGTCAATAAGGAGAAAGTTGGAAATGAATCTACAAGAAAGAGTGAAGCAAAGAAAAAGGCAACTAATGGGCATCTAAATTGGGTGTCGCCTTTACCATTCCCTCAACGATTTCAGAAGAAGGCAGTTGATGATCTCTATAAGAAATTCTTGGAGATTTTCAAGCAGTTGCATATTAATATTCCATTCATTGAGGCTTTGGAACATATGCCTAAATATGGTAACTTTCTGAAGGAGATGTTGAGTAAGAAGAAGCACTTCACTGAGTTCGCAACTATAGCATTGACCAAAGAGATCACCAGTGTCATTAAGCCTAATGTTCCTTTCAAGTGTAAGGATCCTAGTTCCTTCACTATACCATGTTTGATGGGTGATAAGTTTGAATGCCGTGCTTTGTGTGATTTGGAGTCTACTGTAAATTTGATGTCTTTGTCTGTTTTCAAGAAGTTGCAATTAGGGGAAGTCAATCCTACCACTGTTACCCTCCAACTAGCTGACAGAAGTCTCTCTTATCCGTATGGTATTATCAAGGATGTCTTGGTGAAAGTTGATTCTTTTATCTATCCTGCTGATTTCATTGTGCTAGACATTGAAGAGGATAAAGAGATTCCACTGATTGTAGGGCGAACATTTTTTGCTACAGCTAGAGCTTTGGTGGATGTTGAGAAAGGAGAAGTGATTCTACGGCTTGGTGATGAGCAAATTAAATTCAACACGGATAAAGCAATGAAGGATTCTAAAGAAAAGAAACAGTGTGCAAAGGTTGCTGTGATAGATAAACTCAATCAAGTTGAATCAGATTCATTCACTAGTAAAGAGCCCTTTCAAGCGACTAGAGTTGAGAAAAAGACTGTGGAGGATGCTTACTTTGCTCAAACTAAGAGCTCTTGGACTACCTCTATATCATCTCTAGAGAGACATTAGCATTACTTATCTCAACCTCCTTGATTTGCTGAAATAGTCTGGCTGAAGACTATAAACTTAGCGCTTTTAGGGGGCAACCCAAGGGTTTAGTAGTTACTTTTTTGTTTTGTTTCTTTGCTTGAGTTGTTTTGATGTTTGCTTTTATTTTGTAGGACTTTAGTATCCCCATGATGATGTGATTCATTTGAGCCACAAAGATCAACAGCAATTCAAAGAGTGCACATCAAGAACAAAAGAGGGAGTCTCCTTCCACTTTTACCTGATTAGCTTGATTTATGATTGATTGTCTACTACTGCGAACTGAGTGCTGGTTATAATGTGGATTTGCATTTGATTGATGTTTGATGTTGATTATTTTTTCTACTGGTTGCACTTGTCTGTTTTGCTTATTTTTAGAACTCTTGGAATTTATGATTTTCCTTGCACTTGGATATGGTTGAAACTGTCATGATTTTCAGTGGATTGCTGTCTTTCGTCCACTGCTTTGATTTTGTTCCCATCTTTTAAGGGAGTGACAGTTTCATTTTTCTCCTCACTTCTTTCACTGTTTGATGTGTTTTTACACATTGAGGACAATGTGTCATTTAAGTGTGGGGGTGAGGCAAAACTATTGATGTTGCACAAACTTGTCCTCAAGTTTTTAGTTTTGGGGTAAATATTTGAAAATTTCTTTGCTTTTGTGAATAGTTAAAAAAAATTTCAGGAAAATTTTGAACACAAAATTTTTTTTGTTTTCCTTGAAAGTTTGGGTTTTGATTGTGAATATTGCTTAAGTTGGTTTTGATTTGAACTTGAAAAGATTGGGTTTGATGAGAATTTGGTTCTATCTTCCAAGAGTGTTAGTAAATTGGCAAAGAACTTGGTTTTGGTAAATAACTTTAGGAAATCAATAACCTGTGAGGATTTGAGCCTAAATTTTAATTTCTTTTAAGACGGAGTACATTTATTGTGATCTTATCTCTAGAACTTGTCTTGAATCTCTTTTGAGGCTTAAAATTCTTTTTGCATGCATAAAAATGATTTAGGCATTCATTTTCATAGCCACTTTAGCTAAATGTCCATCCCATTTGTATTAATCCTTTGATTAACCCATTTGAGCCTAACTTTTTCTTCAAAGAAAATTGCATGGATTATATAGCCCTTTGTTTGAGAAAATGCAATTTTTTCTCAATTTCATCACTTTAGGAAATGCTATGTGAGACTTTTTAGAAAAAAGAGTGAAGGAATGGGAAAAAGAAAAATTGGTCAGTGCTTTGTGATTTTGTGTAAATAGGAAAAGAAAGGAGAAATAGACAATCAAATCAAAATAAAGAGAAAAAAAAAAGAGATGTTATGAAGGAATGATTGAAAAGAAGGGAAAAAAAACCAAAAAAAAGAAAAGAAAGAAAAGAGTGAAAAAAGGGGCATAGATGGAAAAAGGAACATGAAAAGAAGGAAGAAAGGAAAAATATGATAGGTAAAAAAAAATCAGCAAAAAAAAAATATAAAAAAAGTATGAAAACAGGAAAAAAGAAAAAGAAAATGAAAAAGAGTATATGGGTTTGGCTTCTTAAAATTCCTTCGTTCTTCTTGTGTTTTTATTGAAAAGCTTAGCACTTACTAAAATTTTTCTCCATTTGTCATTTTTCATTTTATTATTCTACCTTATTTATTACTCCCTCCGTTCCTTATTATAATAGACAAATAATCGAAATACGTTGATCAAAAAAACAGTTAAAATTAGTTAAGAACAATTAATGTGTAAAAAGTATAAAATTTTTTTCAAAAATGCCCTCATTAATAAGGAGAGAGAGCATGAGAGAGAATAATTAAATTATTAAAAGAAAGAGAAGTGGGAGGGAGAGAGAGTGTGAGTTGGAGATAATAAATATGGGTAAAATAGTAAACCAACACAAAAAAATAGAGACAACTTGTAAGTGTCTCTTATATATAGGAACATACCATAAGCATCAAATGTCTCTTATAATAAGGAACGGAGGGAGTACAACTCTTGAGAAGTCCTTTTGATTTGTGTTTGCAATTGGATAATATAGTGGAGATTGAGACGATAAACAAGCCTATAGTAGATGAGTTGCAGTAAATGGAATTGAATAAAACACAAGCCCTTAATTGTTATGAGAGATGAGTGTAAGCACTTGACTAGTAAGGGAGTTCCTATTGTAATTTATCTTTACCAAGTTAATTGTCTTGCTACTTGTATTTTTGGAAGATGGAAAAGAGTTCTTTAAAGACTTAATTCCTGAAGGTTTGAATTGTTTTCAATTTGGTGATATTTGCGTTAAAGTTTTGTTCCTTTGGTTTTTATTTGCTTGTTTTATAAATTAAAAAAAAATCTTGAGGACAAGATTTGAGGCAAGTGTGGGGAATTTGATAACTCTTCATTTTTAATATATTTAAAGAATATTTTGAGTTATTTTTTGGAGAGTTATTAATGCATTTTAGAAGATTTCTAAGAGTTAATTGGAAGATTTGATTTTAAGCATTATTTTGGGGATTTTATTATAAATATCTTAATTTGAAATAAATAAAAATAATTAATACTAAGTTTAACATTTAGTTGATTTTATTTTATCTTATTCCTTTTTCTTAGAATTTATTTTCTTCTCTTTTATTTTATTTTTCAGTTTTTCCTTTTTATTGGTTTTATTTTATTTTCTTTTCCTTCTCTCCTCTTGCATCAGTTAGCACGTGCTGATTGGGGAAGAAGCAAGCAACGCACCGTTTGGACTGAGAGGGGGGAAGGGTTCTGATTTGGAGACGGAGGCGCCGAAAACTGAGGAGGCTGGTTCATCTTGAAGGCTGCCGAACTGTTGTGGAAGAAGGGGAGTATACCGTTCTTTTCCTGGAGCTCGACGGAGACAAGCAAGGAAGAGCTGGTGGATCATCTTCTTCATCTGAAAGGCGCCGTGCTGGTTCGAACAGAGGTAGCTGGTTCTGGTTCAAGGGAGAGAAAAGCTGGTTCTGGGTTGAAAGAAAGGAGCCGAACTGGTGTAGTGAGGCTGTGTTTTCGACACTGTTCGGATCATCTTCTCTGCTGGTGGTCGACTGGTTCTGCAGGAAAATGGCGACAGCAATGAGCTTGAGAGGACGAGTTCAGGCGAAGGCTTGAGGAGAGGAGATAACTAGCAGTGTTCTGTTTTCTTTCTCCTTTAATTTCGATTATGAATTTTGAATCTGAATTTTATTGTTGCTGAGATGGTTTTGCTCGAAGTCATGTGTGGCTAGTGTGTCTTACAGCCTAGAGGAACTATGAACTTGTCAGTGGATTGAACTTTGTTTTTACTGAATTGAGGATGCTTAATGATAAATTTTGGTTACTTAATCTTGTTCTTTATCTGTCCATTTGATGACGGGCTACCATTAATTGTGAATTTAAGAATTAAAAGTTTTTTTTTGACAAAGGGGATTTTAGTTGAACTCGTAGATTAAGTAATATGGGATTGGATGATAATCTGATTTGTGATTGTGATAAAAATATACCTTATTGCCCTGTATAATTGTTGATGAGTGAGACTGAATTGTTTAACCTCCTAGGTAATTGTGTGAGAGATTACATGATTAATTTAAGAGAGGGTTATAAGTAGACCGATGGGCACTTGTAGCTAATTGATCCTAGATTAACAAAATTGACATTAAAGCTAATCAATTCAGTAAAACAATGTCTAAGAAGCTAGTAAGGGATTAGTGATTTTAGGTTGGCCTTTTAATATTTGATTAAATTAATTTGATAAAGTTTTGTTTTGTTTATTTTAATTTCTTTTCACCCAATTTCACTTAATTTTGATTTACTCAACTTAAACAAAAAGAGGATTTTTATTGCCTAATCACTCTTAACTGAGTTTCTGTCGGATTGACCTTAATTTGCCACTATCTATTTTGTATGTATATGGTTTCATAGAAGTAAATAAATCTGGAATTTCCAGATTTAATGAACAGATAAGGGAGGAAGAAAAGATTAAAGAATGATGGTAAAATCGGTTGGGAATAAAACTGAATTTGGGAGTTAAATCTGGAAATTTAAGGATGGAATAAACTTTGTTTTAATCTCTCTATATTCTAGAGAATAAGCTTGAGGTTAATGATGAGTGACTAAAGGTCTTTCTATGGTGCTATCTGACTTGAGGATACTAGAATCATTATTTGAGCACAGTTCTCAAATCTGAAAATAATTCTAGAACCACAAGATTAACACCTTGTTTGGTTTGAGGGCAGGGATGGGGAGGGTGGGAAAGGGTTTAACCTTGCCTTGTTTTGTTTGATTAAAGAGAAGGAGAAAGATGGATATTTAATGATCCCTTATTTGGTTTAAGAGAGGGAGGGGAGGGATAGAATGATCAATTTACCATTTTATCCTTAATTAAGTTAATAAAATAATATTTTTATAAAAATAAATTAATTTTTAATAATATAATTTTTATTGTAATAATATTTTTATTTTATATAAATTTCATCATAATATATTTTTATTTATAATAATTTATTTTTTATTTGAATTTGGTTTTATAACAATATTTTTTTTATTTTTTATGGGTATTAATGAAATATTAAAAAAAAATAAGAAGATAAAATGATCTAAGATTTTGGCTCCCTTCTACAAAAACCCAACTTGGAGGGGAGCCAAGATGGGAGAAGGTGAGGGAGGGGGGGATTTTTGTTCCCCTCCCCTCCCCTCTAAAATTTTTAACCAAATGGGGGGAAGAGCTCATTTTCTCTCCTCTTGCCCACCTTCCTCTTGCCCACCTTCCTCGTAAACATATACATGTATGCATGTATTGAAAGCAAGTAGTTAATAATTGTAAAGTGATTTGTGGACATTGTATTATATTTATTTACTTTTTATTTTCCACGACGACCAATCACTTGATAAAAGTGAGGCTGGCATGGTGAATAGGACATATCAATTGTCCTTAAATGTAATAGTTAAGTTAATATTTTTGTCAAAGATGATCAATCATTGAGTAATAGTAGAGATTAAAGAAAATTGGGAATTAAGGGAAGTT